GGAAAAGGAGAGAAAAGAAAAAAAAGAAGAAAAAAAAAATAAGTAAATAAATAAATAAATAAAGAGTCTTTCTTCGAGCACATGGAACGTACGATATTTCTGTGTCTTGTAAGGAGAAACGGTATTTAAAAGGTAAAAAAAAAAAGAAAAAAAGAAGAGAGAGAAATTAAAAAAAAAAAAAAAAAAAAAGGCATTCAATTAACGCATTAATTGAACTCTAAAATACAGAAATTTATATATGTTTATCGGGAAGAAAAACAGAAAAGAAAAAAAAAAAAAACAAAAAGAAAACAGAGATTGACAAAAATTAAATAGAAATATGAAAAAAAAGAAAGAATTGTCGTTGCTGTGTTTAAATAATTTTTAAACGACAATATACGTATCACGAAAGTAAAAACATACGTACTTACATATATGTATGTTACATGCGAACCTGTTTTTCCATACGATCACAGATTTAAATGACTCATTGTGACTCGTAAAGAATACTCTTCTTTTTTTTCTTTTTTTCTGTTTCTTGTTATTATTCCTTTTTCTTTTTTTTTCTTTTTTTTTTTTCTTCTTCTTCTCTTACTTTCTTTCTTTCCTTATCCAGTCGAAAGTTTCCTTTGGCGCGTGGTTTCTCTTAAAAAAATTAATAGAACATTTAGAAACCACACAATGGATGATCTCGCGGATCTCGCGACGTAGTCGTAACACGACGTAGAAAATATTAGGAAAAAGAAAAAAAGAAAAAGGAATACAAAAACAACAACAACAACTACAATAACAATAACAATAACAATAACAATAACAATATTTGATTCCCCTTGTAATAATATAAATTGTTCGTTTGTTCGTTAGTTATTTTTCTCTCTCTTTTCTTTTTTTTTTTTTTTTTTTTTTTTTAATTTTTCTTTTCTTTTCTCTTCTTTTCTTTTTCGATCTTAAGATGCAAATACGATGTATGCGATAATGAACGAACGTAAAGCGAAAAGAAAAAAAAAAAAGAAAAAAGAAAAGAAATAAAATGTTTAAAGGATGTATAAGATAATACACGTAGTACACACATATTTGATACTTGAGTTATATATTTAAACATAAATACACTATTTAATATATGATTCAAGCTTACAATAAACGGGTTGTATAGAATGGTCGTCTCTCTTCTTTCAAAAATATTTTGTCACTATCTTTATATACTTCCATTCCTTTCCATTCAATATACATATTATATATATATATATATATATATATATATATATGTATAAAATTTTTAAAAAGATATTTAATTAAAAATTATGTTGAAGATAAAAATAAAATGTTCCATAGTAATCGACATATATAATTTGAAAACATATATATATATATATATATATATATATATAAATATTATAAATAAATAATCGATAAAAGAGAAAATAAATATACCGCATTCTTTTCCTCTATGGTATATGTATGTACAATACGTACGTATACATATCTCGCTGACGAATCATTGATCAACGTCAAACCAAAGAATAGGGTGTATTGTCGTATCCTTGAAAAAGAAGGTAAGAGGTCCGTTCGTTTGGTAGGACAAGGAAGGATCGTCCCTCTTTGGTAAGCGTAAGTGCAGACATAATCTTTCCTCCTTTCTTTCTTCTTTTTCTTCCTTTTTGTTTTCCTTTTTTTCTTCTTCGTCTTTTTTTCCCATCCCTTCGAAGATTAGTCAGTTTTATAGATCCCGTTTTATAGATCACGTTTCGTTTCGTTAATTTTCCTTTAATACGAATTAACATTTTAGATTAGATATAAGAAAATTCGTACAAATATTGAACTCGTTTTTCTATTTCTGTGAGAAAAATAATTCACTTTTTGTTTTTATTTTTTTTTCTTTCTTCCTTCTTTTTTTTTTTTCCTTCCCCCTAAAAAACAATTAGTTACATTCATTGATGTTGCCTATGATTGATACGATCGATTAAATGATTTAACGTTTCTTTTTTTTTTTTTTTTTTTCTTTTTTTACGTACGCATATACACGCATCTGATTATACGTGACGAAGATTAAATTGTAAAGAGAAATGAAGCTTGCCGTGGCTTCTGGCGTTAGCATTTTTAATTAAACTTTAATTACTTTAAGAAAGTAAGTAAATATCTATTCCGATAAATATATATAAGCGAAGCTTTGAGAACATTCGTTCGTTCTTGATTAAAGCTGTTAATAACAAGCCAATGATAATTTATAATAATAAAAGAGAATATATTTAAAAATATATTACTTATAGATATAAAAGGACAAGATAAAATATATTTAATTTAATCGTTAAGTTTATCAAACATAGATTTTCTATGTCGTCCATTTTGGATAGATTCCATGTGTTACCTCAAACCATGGTTTGCCGTGTAAATTATAAACAAATCGTATCTTGGATAATTTGATATTAAGATATATTTAATATTAACGAGGTAAAAAAATAAGATATACTTAATATTAACGAAGTAAGTATACGAGTAAGTTAATATTATATTATTAACTTAATAACTCATATCTTTAATAATTAATATTATTATAAATGATTTAATTTTAAACGTAAGTGCGAGATTGTTAGATAATAAATTTCTTTGTATAATAAATTAATATTTATAAGAAAGTACATTTGTTTAAACATTATATGGCACGTAACACACGTTAAATATAAAATAATATTGATTCAATATTTCGATAAGCGTAAATCTTCAATTTGGTAGGAATAATTTACACTTTCGATAAATTCATAATGATTTAAACAATTTATAATGTACACGGAGTACAATAAACTGATATTTTAACAATTATTTATTTATTTCATTATATAGAATCAGTTTTCTTTTCTAAACGTGAAGATTTAAAAATTAATACCTTGAGAAATTTTATAATTATTTAAATAATATATAATATACACAGTATACAATAAATTAATATTTAAACAATAGTGTATTCGTTTAAACATTATATATTGTTTGGAATGCGCGAAAAATTTACAATAATCTTAAGTTAAAATTTCAAAAGAATAATTACAGACTATTGAGTTATTTTCAATGGTTCATCATAATCTCTCGAGAATCACTCTAAGTCGTATATTAATTTTATCGTGTTATCATTCAAAATGCACTTATGATGATGGGTGTAAGAGTATAGATTTAAGAAACTTAGACGACGTAACATTCCGTCTTTCACATTGCCACGTATACGCAAATAGGATTATTTCATATTTAATGTATTTTCGAATTATTAGAATCGAGTCATAAATTTTTCGCGTTTTTCTTTTCTAAAGTTCAAAATTTCAAATAAAATTTGTAATTTTATTTTAATATGGTCGAATGTTATATTAAAGTCAAGGGATAAATTTTTGACTATTTACTTTTATAAAGTTCTATTAAAGTTATAATTTTATTTTAAATAAAACCGAGTTCTATATTTAAAGACTATTCGTACATTTTTCATTTTTTTTTTTCTTTTTTTCTTTTCCAAAGGTCAATTAAATTCATAAATTATTTCTTATAAAATTAAGTTCTATATTAAAATCATAGCTACGAAATGTATAAGATACGAGAATAGTGGACACATTGAAAATCCATGCATTGAATCAAAGTGCATAACGAAGTTGAAACGAGCAGACAAGGAAAGTGGGACTTAGGTCCCACTTTGTCTCGCGTACATTAATGAAATTATTTGATATATTGCATTTTTTATTATTAAAGTCGAAACTCGTACATTTTTCATTTCATTCTTTTTTTTTTTTTTTTTTTTTTTTTTTTTTTTTTTTTAATTAAATTTATACTTTTATCTTTCATAAGTATTTCACATTTTTCATTTACATAAAATCAATTATTTAAACAATCTTTAATATGCACGGAATACAATAAATTAAAATTTATACGATAGTACAATTGCTTAATCATTACAAAGCTCGTAACTCCTGAGAAAGTCAAAATAATTTTAATTTATAATTTTATTGCATTAAAATTTTTTTCTCGGTACAGTTGACCTTGTTTAATATAAACATATTCCGTCTTTAATTAATTTTCACGATTATCGAGTTGGTATTCTTTTGACGGGTGAACATTTAAATTCTCTATTTAAACGCGAAACCTTAAAAATTAATAATTTAGATCATTTTTCAATCATTTCTAAAGTCTCTAATATACACGTAGTACAATAAACTAATATTTGAATAATACTACGTAACTTGATCATTTTAATGAATTTATGATTTATGATTTATGAATACGTACATATGCACATACATACATACATACATACGCACACACATACACACATGCGCCGAGTCATACACACGCTCGCGCGTGCGCGGAAACTTTCGGCGCGTAAAATTAAAAAAAAAAAAAATGAATATAAGAACAAATCGTACGCATTATTTCCATTCATTTGTTCGTTCATTCGTTAATTTCATATCGAACTTCTGTTGTTAGAATCAGATTAGGAAAAAAAAAAAAAAGAAAAAATGGAAAAACGAAAGGCAAAAATAATTACGTAATCTCCAAGAAACTAATATTATACAAGGATACCTTAAAAGAGCTTAATTTCGGATTTGTCGTAACGCGATAGTAATAAGATGCTTGGATCAGTTGGAAAAGTTTGTTGAAAGAAGTCACACACACACACACACACACACAGAGAGAGAGAGAGAAAGAATCATTTTACTCTTTATCGAGAAAATTTCTTAGTTTCGTCTTAATCAAAGTGCATTCCCTCATCGTGGAGTAACGAAGCTTCGTAGATTTTTTCTCTGTCTCTGTCTCTCTCTCTCTCTCTCTCTCTCTCTCTCTCTCTCTCTCTCTCTCTCTCTTTCTCACTCTTTCGAAATGTCGAAAATATTTTATCCCTTTCGTTTCGTCCATTTAATTATCTTAGATTTTTTTTCATAATCGACGAATATACGATGTAGCTTTGTTCGATGAAAAATTAAATATACTTGATGGCTGATATAAAATTAAGATATATTCAGAATTGTGTTTAACTAAATGATTCTAAAGAATTTAACATTTCTTTTTGTTACTCTCTCTCTCTCTCCCGCCCCCCCCTCTCTCTCTCTCTCTCTTTCTATCTCTTTGCAGAACACGCACGATTAAACAAAATGCGGATCGATTAAAATGTAAATTCTTTCCTTTGCTAGATTGTCTCGTATTAAATTTAACGAAAAAGAAGAAGATAGCGATATATATATATATATATATATATATATATATATATATATATATATATATATATATATATGGAGAGAGAGAGAGAGAAAGAGAGAGAGAAAGAGAGAGAGAGAGAAAGAGTAAAAGAGAGAGAATGAAAGAGAGGAAGAGAGAGAGAGATTGAGAGAGAGGAAGAGAGAAAGAAAGAAAGAGTAAGAGAGAGAGAGAGAGAGAGAGAGAATCTCGACGATAAAGGGAAAAGATTTCTTTCGATTTAATTAGAATTTCTTCTTCGAGTCACGTGATCCGTGGCTAAGGGAAACACGTGTGTGCCAGCGGCAATATGGTTCATTGAAATTCTTAATTAAATTCTCGCCACTTTCTCGAGTTTGGCGAAGTAAGAGAGAAAAGAAAGAAAGGAAAAAAGATAAGAGAGAGAGAGAGAGAGAGAGAGAGAGAGAGAGAGAGAGAGATAGAAAGAAGAAAAAAAAATGAAAGAAAGAAAGATAGCATGGCCCTTCCCATCTGAGTTTTTTTCTTTTTTTTTTTTTTCTTTTTTTCATTCTGAGATTCTTACGAGGTAGGGGTAGATGTATTCCTACTTTTTTACCTCATACACCTCCTACCCCTCTCACCCCTTTTCACCCTCTTTCTCTCTCTCTCCCTCTCTCTCTCTCTCTCTCTCTCTCTCTCTTTCTCTCTTTTTCTTTTTCTTTTTTTTTTCTCCCTTTTCTTCCATTCGTAAGCTCTGCAACTTCAGATTGCGTTTGCTTTTCTCCAACGACGAAGACGAAGACGACGACAACGACGACAACTACGACGACGGAATCTTCGCCGCAAAGCGAGAGCTTTATTCTAATCTTCCTTCTTACTATCATAGTCCACCTCTTTCTCCTCCACAGAGGCAAAACAATTAAGCTTTCCACGAAATCTCACTTCTCTCCCTCTCTTTATTACTCCTACTATTTCTCATCCTTCTCTTTCTCCTTCTCTGTCTATTTTTCTCATTCTTCTTTTTTCTTCCTTTTTCTTCTTCATCTTCTTCTTCATCTTCATCTTCTTCTTCTTCATTTTCTTCTTCTTCTTCTTTCTTTACTTCTTTTTCTTTCGTTTTCTTTTTTTCGCGTCTTTATTGCCACTTTCGTTTCCACGACCAACGATCATACTCCTCTATCATCTTTCGTAAGTACAATTTTCCCCTTTCCTTCCTTTTTCTTTTTTTTTCTTTTTTCCTTTCTCTCTTTTTCTTTCATTTCTTTTTTTTTTTTTTTTTTTAATTTTCTCTCCTACTCAAGCGTTCGCTTATTTTTTTTTCTCTTTTTCTTTCTCTTTATATTATTCCACAAGTCGATGAAATTGTATTACTTAAGCGTTTATGAGCGTGAAATTATTATATTTTAATTGATTTTTAAGAAATTTTAGACAGAAAGAGAAAGAGAGAGAGAGAGAGAAAGAGAGAGAGAGAGAAAGAGAGAGAGAATTGAAATTCGAATCCTCTCATTGATTAGAATATAATTAATCATAGATATATTCGACGATTAGGGATTTACTCGAATCGTTATAGTAATATGAAAGGTAAGAAGAAAAAGAGAAGAAAGATGATCGATGTTCTCCGCGTATAGAAATATCTATTACATTTAGATCAATTTCGTGAATCAATCATGATGCCAGAGCCACATCGATATAACGTAAAGTACTTCGACGTAATCCTCTTGGATTTTAGACTTGCAATATTTTCGATTAAAAATATCATCCGTCGATAATCTAATATTTCGTAAAACAATATATTACGATAGATTAATAAAACATATTAAACGTATTATTATCAAATTATTATCTACGTTATTTACGATAGATTTATATTTTGTTTATTAAAAATTACAGGAATGTGTATTAATCGATAAGTAAGATTTCTACTTGTGATAATGTCGATAAATTTTCTTTCTCATTCCATTTTTATTTCTTTCTCTCTCGTTCTCGCAATTTACGTACGGACGTTCCGACGTTACCGACGCACAACAAAAAAATACATTTACCTCGTGTACACGTATTGTTATCGACATAGGATAACACGATCTCGATATGATAATTATTATCATCGGAGTTAAATAGTTTCAATGGCGTATCCCGTAGAGAATGGCGTCGCTGATCGAAAATAATCGTGAGCGCAGGATCCGGGATTATACACGATCGTCCTACGGGTCGTCATTCGACAGGAGTTTAGTCGGTGCCGGTCCCGAAACGCGTTCACGTCTGGACATCCTGCGGGACGAGAAATATTAAGGATGGCAAGGGATATGTACATTTGATAGGGCGGTCCATTAGTGAGGGGGGAAAAGGAGGAAAACAAATTTGTCAAGCTACGACGGGGCCTTTATAGTGAACGCGTAAAGAAAGAGAAGAAGTTAGATTATTACGGGATAATGAATCTCTTCGGGGAACAGAGAGAGAGAAGAAGAAGGGTGCGCAAAACGTACGTTTAGATTAGGCTAAATAACACGTCGATTTGTCGTGGCGTCGCGTACCAAATCGTAATATCAACGCCGTCATCATCGTCGTCGTTGTCGTTATCGTCATCGTTGTCGTTGTCATTGTCATTATATTATATTATTTTGTCAAACATAATATCGTGTCTCTTCGAGATGACGCGACCATATCAAACGTCCAAATAATCTTCTTCTATATCTACAGCCATTTTCTCTCACTTTCTCTTTCTCTCTTATTTTCTCTCTCTCTCTCTCTCTCTATCTCTATCTCTATCTCTATCTCTACCTCTTTCGCCGCGTTACCGATCGTTCCTGTCGGAAAGGGAAGAATGTTAAACATTCTCGATGACACCTACGCGATGAATGCTAGTACAGGATAAAGGTGAGTAATGTATTCACAAAACGTCGCGTGATCTTTCGATCATCTAATTCATATCGTTATGTATATACATTTATACATACATATATACATGCATATACATACACACTTACATATATATATGTATATATAAATATTCTTTATCACGATTTAAAGAAATTTTATTTTTCATCAATCTTAGAAATGTCTATCGACATTACAGATATAAAATCGATTTCCCGACACACCCGACTCGTATATCGAGTATATCACGAAACGATGCATATATTAGTATATTATAAACTCTCTCTCTCTCTCTCTCTTTCTCTTTCTCTCTCTCTCTCTCTCTCTCTCTCTTTCTCTCTCTTTCACTTTCTCAGTCTCTCTCTTTTTCTCTTTTTCTCACTCCCTTATTATCCATCACATATAAGGAACACTCTTATAACGTTTATGGTATATTATTATGGAATAATCATAAAATACTTAATATACACATATAACGAATTTTTCTTTGTTTTTTTTTCTTCTTTTTTTCTTTCCCCTCCCATCACCCCGACCCTTCAATTAGCGTTAGAAACGAAATAATAGTAGAGATATTACATTCGAGTCAATTGTTACGTCCGGTTTTTTAATATCCTTCCATTTGCTTGGATCACAATTAAACGTGTTCCATCGAATAGAAGGACTCTCTAAGCTTTACGATACTCCTGCCTGTAATTCGTTCGATACAGACGAACACGAGAATGGAATTAATTTATGAATTTTCGATTGGAGAAATTCTATTGTCAATATAGTAATAGGTTTTAAAATCATGAAGATTAAAACACGTATACCATTGGCAACAATTTATCGTTTTACATGGGAATGAATAATTATTACATATAAATAATATTTATTGTTTGATACTTTTCAATATATTAAATTTATACAACACAGTAACAATTTATATATTTACTTATTTATATACTTATATACTTATTTATTTATTTATTTATTTATTTATTTATTTATTTATTTTATTTCCAATATATGTATAATATTTGATTATCAAAAATTTCTTTCCCTTTAATCGTCGACGAATTGATTAACAATTGTTAAATCGATATAGTAATAAATCGTTTAGTATTGATAATACATATTGTGTCGTACGATGATAGGTAACGACGGTAATGTTATTGACAGACTCTTATCAAACTTCGATGTCTTTGATCTTCAAACTAGATAGACTTCGATGATTACTATGAAGTCGTTGCGACGATACCGAAATGGAAACCTCTCACCCCATCCCTCCCCCCTCCCTTCACTCCCTTCGTCCTTGTATTCTCATTCCCACGATATATTCTTAGAGTTACCTACCTTTTAGTTAACTCTCGAAAGCTCTTAATAAGTTTCTTAAGGTAAGATGAAATCTTAGTTAGTTGCATTAAATTCGAATTCGCAAAGTTATAGATACATATATATATATATATATATATATATATATATATATATATATACGTAGTAAAAAGACACGAATGTTTAAAGATGTCATCGTTAACATAGATCGAGAAAGTGTTAAGAAACTTCTTTTTTCCTTTTTTTTTTTTTTTTCTTAACTTTAATACTTACTCCTTTAATCTCGTTCAATTTTAACTCTTAGAAAGAGTTACTATTTTACAAAGAATATTCTCGACTTTTCCCACTTTATTCCTATCCTTCGCACTTTCGACCCTAAGCGAAAGATAAATGCGTATGCATAATTAATGAAATATTTCGTATAAGAACCTCATACATACATAAGTACATACATACATACATATGTAGATACATACGAGATATTTCGAGAAAGAATGTATTTATATATATATATATATATATATATTTATATATTTATATATATATAATATTATATTTTATATATATATAATAATAATAATAATAATAATAATAATAATAATAATAATAATAATAATAATAATAATAATAATAATAATAACTGGCTCTTATAATGCTTTATTAATCAAAAAAATATACTCTCTGTCTTTGTCTCTGTCTCCATATCTTTTTCTCTCTTGATCTCTCTCTGTCTTTCTTTTTCTATAAATATATAAAGTTAGTACTTGAAAGTTCCTTGATGATTTTAAAATTACTTAATTACTTTTCTTGCAACATTTTTTTTTTGGTGTTAATTACTTTGTCGTTATTCATGTCTCGTGGAACTAGAAATCTAGGAACTTTGATGTCATAAGATATATAAAACAAAGTTTTTTAGAGAGAGAGAGAGAGAGAGAGAGAGAAACGAAAATTTCTGCATGACTTATTATTCTTACATAGAGACATTCGAATCGAACCAGTAGACATATTTATTATCAAAGAATTGCATCAGCATTTTCCTTTGAATTTAAAAGAAATATATTTGGAGTATAGGTATCGTATTTTATTTTATTTTTCTTGTATGTATTCCTTTTTTTTTTCTTTCTTCTTTCTTTCTTCCCGCTTCATTTTTCTTTTTCTCTTTCTCTTTCTTTTCTTTTCTTTTCTTTTTTTTTCTTTTTGTCTCCTTTTTCTTTTTCGTTACTTTTGTATCGAAGGAAAAGAAGAGGAACATGTTCTCTTCTGCTAGTACGATCTTTCTTAAGACATATTTTTCCTTTTGTCATAGCTACTTAGATCAGAATGAACATTCCTCTTATGCTTTGCCATATGGATGTCTTTTATTCTTTGGGTTTCTTTTTTCTCTTTCTCTCTCTCTCTCTCTCTCTCTCTCTCTCTGTCTCTCTTTCTCCTCGTCCACGAGCTCTATTTTATTCGAGTGGATCTTTGCAAATTGGATGCAATGTCATATGTTTTATAAATAATCGTACAGAGATATAATACGTATATGTATACTATATTTTTGTAATATTTATATATATATACATATACATATATATATATATATATATATATATATATATATATATATATATATTTCTTTTATTATATTTATTTTTATTTTACTTTTGTTTGATGAGAGAAAGAAAAAGAGAATGTAATTTATATACATGTGTATGTGTATATATATATATATATATATATATATATTAATTTATTTACATACATAGGTATGTATATAAATAAATGAAATCGTTGGTAGTATATAACAATGGAAGAAAATTCACAAAGAGAAATCTTGAACCGGAAGACGATTTTAACCAAGTCACACTACTAATTTTTTTGTACTTTCTCTCTCTCTCTCTCTCTCTCTCTTTCTCTGTCATTCTTCCTCTATTGCTCTCTTGAAAAGCTTAAACAAACGAACAATGTACAACACGAAACGCTAAAAGCGTTTCTCGTAATAACACAAGTGGAATTCTTGCTTCGTAGTTCCTTGACCCTCGAAACACCACTCGCGAGAAGATATTCAAACTATTCGCGAGTATTCGTCTCACGTATAACGTTAAACACGTTACTCGCTTTGTTTGTTAACAATGTTTGCGTTTGCCGATACGTTTTCTCTTATCCTCTTTGACAACTTTTCTTTCTCAAAAAAAAAAGAAGAAAAAAAAGAAAAAAAATAAGAAAAAAGCAGAAAAAAAATTAAAGAAAAAAATAAAGGAAAAAAGACGAGTGCACAATAATAATATTTACGTACATCGTAATAAAAGTAGAAAAAAAAAGTTTTAAGGAAAAAACAATGAATTGTAATAATGAATCATAATAATTATGAAAAATTCGAAATAACGTTATGTACCTACAGAATGATCCAAGAATTTCTATTATTCCGATAGTTTTATTACGTTAGATTAATTGTCTGTACTTTTCTTGAATTATTTTTTTTTCTTTCTTTTCTCTTTTTTTTTTTTTTGAATTACGTAATCAGGCTTGATTGTGTAATTTTACGATCTGAAAAGAAGATGAAAAAAGAAAGAAAAAGAAAAGAAAAAGAAAGAGAAGAAAGAAGAAAAACGTCGGCCTAAATAGTCTCAAAGTAGAATTAATTGATTTCTTTTTTTTTTTTTTTTTAAATCATCTAGAAACTTTGTATGTATATTTATGGTTAAATATTTTTTTTCTTCTTTTTCTTTTTTTTCTATGTTGGATAATCCGTGTTTTTTTTTCTATCTTTATATATACATATATATATATATATATATATATATATATATATATATATATATAAGGGATGTAACTTTTAAATAACTTACGATAGGGGAGAGTAAGAAAATTATCGACGGAGTTTTTTCAAAGAAATTCTTTTTTCTTTCTTTTATTTTTTGTTTGTTTCTTTCTCTTTTCTCTCTCTTTTTTTTTCTTTTTCTTTTTCTTTCTTTCTCTTTCTTTGTTACCATGTAAAAACGGAGAACGAGGTAGAATGAAGATTCGTATAATGGCGGCCGTTTTTTTATTATACTACCTTGTAGATGCAAAAGGGTGGAAAGCTTTATCTTCGAGTGATGTACGATCGCGTCCGTGCAGAGAATATCTTGTCGGACGGACGGGTGGAAGAAGGGAGAATAAGGGGCATAGGGTGTAGGAGGAAGTTGTAC